GCAGCTGCCAAGCGAGGTGGAGGAATGCTGCAACAACAGCAGTGCAGCATGGGCCTTTTAAGGTCCCACTTCAATCACTGCTGACAGCTGTTGGCAGCTTTTCCCGGCAATGGGAGGACAGAAAGAAGCTGCCGGTACAGCCCAAGATCTCCTGAAATCTCACAAGACGACTAATTCTCGTGAGACTTCAGGGCATCGGCTGAGCATGTGCAGCTTAGAAGCAGGCCAGCGAGAAGATGGCCGGGTTCGAACTCCAGGCTGCACAAGGGAGACACAGAGGGGGGGGAGAAGGAACCAGGGGCTACAATCCTGCCTCCCCTTCTCCAGTTCTGAGGCTCTGCAAGTCCAAACAGGACAGAAAGGGGTGTGATGGATATGAGAGAGAGCTGCTGAGGGCACCCCTCTCAACAACTTCCTTGCGAGGTAGGTTAGGGCTGAGTGTGTGCAACTGGCCTAAGGTCACCCAGCAAGGTTCCACGGGAGAGTAGGGCTTCGAACCCGTGCCTGACCCGCTAACTACACCAGTACTGAATCACATTGATTCTTGTTCGTTCCTATCCTCAAGACCTTAGCCTTAAAGTCAAGCTGACACCTCCTCGCCTTAACCGAAAAGGGGAGGGAGGGAGGAGGGAGAACCTTTTTTTATGTACTCTCGATTACTGTGAGGTCATTCAACCCCCGCTCCTGCCTACCCCAGAGAGGGTGTTTGTCCTGGCCGGCTTTCTGGTTCTGTTTTCCCGCAGAGCCCCAGTTCATCCCGCAGGTTACCAGTCTTCTTTTTGGCAAGCTCCCGCGGGTAGCCCTAGGAATTTATCCCCTCCTGTCCCCGGAGGAGGAAGTGGCTCCGAACGCCCCCCCCCCAGGCCCGGCTTGTGCTCGAGCATGATTTATAGGCTGAGCAGAGCGACTTGTGGAAAAGGCAAAGCCGAGTCTGGCAAGGGGCCACTAGAATGCACTGCAGCTGCGGCCGTGGTGAAGTCATCGGCATAACAACCATTGCAAACACAATAACAAAGTCTGCCCTGTTCCCGTTTAAAATAATCTTTCCAATTCAGAAACCGCAGTTTAAAAAAGAAAAGAAAAAAGAACTTACCTTTCTGCATACAATTAGAGGAAAGGAGAGGCCGTCGCAGCCGACCCATTTGACGGAGAGAGTGTGAATGGCGTGATTATATAGGGTTTGGGTTTTTTTTGTGGTTTTCTTAAAGGAGCTCTTTTGAAAAAAGTTCTCCCTCCTAACATGTATTCTAGTAATCTCGTTTCCCACCTTCGTAGAGAATTTAAGCCCGCCCACACACAGACACATTTGGGAAGGATTTGAGAAGGAACGACTCCTTCCCCGAAAATTGCATGCGCTTATTTGAAAAAGTGAAGGATCCTGCCGATTTCTGGATGTCGACAGACACAAGTTTAAAAGTCTTGCCTGGTATTTGGGGAGACATACGCAGAGTCGCCGCATCCTAGCTCTGTGGCAGACCACCTGCTTTACATACAGGAGGTCCCAAGTTCGATCTCGGCCACCCGCGGTAACGAGGCTCTCAGCCGGCAGGGCTGGGGAAGGAGTTGCAGGGCCCGGGCCAATTAGAGCACCTAATCCTGGGCTAGCCCCATCTTGTCAGATCCTGGAAGTTAAACGGGGTCAGCCCTGGTTAATACTTGGATGGGAGACCAGCGACAGCAAAGCACCTCTGTTCGTCTCGTGCCCTGAAAGCCCTATGCCGGCAGGAGTGTCCAACATACGGCCCGTGTTAATTGGGTCTGCCTGCATCCTTTATAAAGTTTATATCTGCGGTACCTGGCATTACGTTTTATGGCACACACGGCCCGGCCTGACTAGAGATGTGAAGGCCCAGGAAAAAAAACGGAAAAATTCGGGGGGGAAACGTTTTTCCCCCCGTTTTTCTCCTGAAGCCTTTTGTGTTTTTTCCCCGAAAATATGGAAAAATTGAAAAAAGAAAAGAAAAGGAAAAAAACTGATTATGGAACGTTTTATTTTAACATGATGAATAAAATATTTTAAGACAAGGTGTTCATATATTTTCCAAATCATTTCTAATATATATATATGGTATCACATTGATCTAATTTCTGTGCACTGAGGACAAGCAAGTCCTAGGTTACAAACTGAACTCTCCAATGCAAGAACAAGATGAATTTCTTCCTTTAGGAGGTGCTATTGTCACAAGAAAAGGAAAAGGTTTCAGTTTTGTTTTTGCATGTGGGTGGGTATTCTGTTTGAAATAATTGTTTGGATACACTATATTTTTAATAGGCTAGTTGTGATAATTTCATGCCAAGTAAAAATGTCCATAGTCATATTTTATGTTCCTAAAGTAACAGAATGACTTTCAATCTAGAAAAGGCAAAAGAAATGCTAATGTAGCCTTTTTTTCAGTTTTCCCGGAAATGTCCGTTTTCCCCCGGCAAAAACTGGAAAAAAACCGTTTCAAAATTTCCGGAAATTTTACATCTCTAGGCCTGACAAAGTGACATTTATGTCAGATCCGGCCCTCGTAACAAATGAGTTCGACATCTCTGCCGTATGGGGTCACCCTAAGTTGGCTGTGACGTGAGGGCACACGCACGCAAAACTTGGCAGACCAATGCCAAGTTTGGAGAAGGGCGCTAATTCAGTGGTAGAGTCCATGCTTTGCATGCATAAGGTTTGTAGTTTAATTCACTAGCCTTCTGCCTCCCTTTGTACACATGCTGAGAGAGGCAGGAAGTCGAGGCGAGGTCACAGTGGTGGAAAGGATTCACTGGGCTTGTTCCTCAGTAGGCTACACCCCCTGGCGCTTGGCTTGTGTTGTCTGTCCCTCACTCTCTGGGTCTGCTGCCCGAGGTCCTTGGCCTTGATCCCAGTGAGGTCATGTCTCTGGTCCTCTTCCTGTCATGTGACTCTGACATCAGATGTCTGTAGTGATTTCCTGTCACTTGCTTCCAGCTCAGTGAGTTCCCATACTGCAGCCAGGGGGGTTCGAGCTGAGACCCAGGGACGAGAAATACAAGCCAAATAACCAGGAAGTATTGGGAGGGGTCTTGGCCCAGTGGTAGAACATCTGCTTGGCATGCCAAAGGTCCCAGGTTCAATCCCCAGCATATCCAGCTCAAAGGATTGGTAGCAGATGATGGGAAAGACCTCTATTAGAAATCCTGGAGAGCGACTGCCAGTCTGAGTAGACAGGCACTGACTTGAGGGGCCAGTATAAGGCGGCTTCATGTGTTCAGAAATACCGTCGTGAAGGCCCTTTGAAAACGCAACCAAAAATGGCCACCGTGAAGGGGCTCCCAATCCACCTAAGTGCCCTGATCCATGGGTGGAAGACCATGAATGGGCCATGGGTGGAAGGCTTTGAATGGCCTGACTTCAAAACACCCAGATAGGTGGTGGTGGTGGTGGGGATATGTTGAAAGAAAGACTACAGGATTCCATGCTGGGGATTGGTGGCTTTTACTTTCGGAATGAGAAATCTGTGGATGTTTAGAGTATTCCTTGTGAGTCATTCAAGTGGAAGATGAGTTTGCCCTGCCCTGGATAGCCCAGGCCGGCCTGATCTCGGAAGCTAAGCAGGGCCAACCCTGGCAGGTACTTGGAAGGGAGACCTCCAAGGAATACCAGTGCAGGGACGCAGAGGAGGCAGGCAGTAGTAAGCCACCTCTGAAACATCTAAGCCTCACTAGAGGTCTCCAGAAGTCAACCAAGACTTCCAGGTACACACACACACAAATACCAAAAAAAGTGGAAGTTGCGTTTAATTGATATATAATGTAAGTTGTTGTTGTTCAGTCGCACAGTCGAGTCCGACTCTTCGCGACCCCATGGACCAGGTCACGCCAGGCCCTTCTGTCTTCTGCTGTCCTCTGAAGTTGGCTCAATTTCATGTTCGTTGCCTCTATGACACTGTCTAACCATCTCATCCTTTGCCGTCCCCGTCCCCGTCTTCTTTGACCTTCAATCTTTCCCAGCATCAGGGTCTTTCCAGGGAGTGCTCCCTTCTCATTGGGTGGCCAAAGTATTGGAGCTTCAGTTTCATTATCTGGCCTTCCAGGGAACAGTCAGGGTTGATTTCTTTTAGGACTGACTGATTTGATCTCCTTGCAGTCCAAGGGACTCTCAAGAGTCTTCTCCAGCACCATTGTTCAAAAGAATCTATTAATCAGCGCTCGGCCTTCCTTATAGTCCAACTCTCGCAGCCATACATGACTACTGGGAATACCATGGCTTTGACCATGCGGACTTTTGTTGGCAGGGAGATGTCTCTACTTTTTATCATGCTGTTTAGGTTCGCGAACCTAAACAGCGAACCATAATGTAAGTAGCATTTACTAAATTAGTAAACATGGTGCGTGTGAGAGAGGAGGAGGTGGCTTTTGTCTTCCTTGGACGAAGTATTCCAGAAGAGATCGCATTTGAGCTCAGCGAACTTTAAAAAAAAAAAAATCACATCCTAGCGAGATTGCCAAGTAGAAACTGTCTGATCCATAGGCACATCCAGTTTAGTTCCCCAATTCAAGTTTTGTGCAAAGTCGATACTTCACCCAGTGCAGACAACCATTAATGATGGCAACTCTTGGAAAGGAAAGGACAGGGCAATGTATGGTTTGCCAGTGAGTAGGAGTCCTCAAGGAATGGATGTTGCTTGCTATTTTACCATTAGAACAGTGTGGTTGTTTGGAGATGATCACCCCCCCATTGATGCCAGAAACGCAGTCTCTTTTCTTCCAAATTCTGGACTCCCACGAGGCTGGTATACTGTTCAGCTGGTTGTTCTATTAGATGCTAAGCGGTGTGATAGAAATGATTCTCCTCCGTCCCCATCCTACCATGAACCTGTGACGAGTGTTCCCCCACCCACCTGCCTAATGCAGAATTGCATCTATGCCTGTCCTCTTGCATTCCGTAAAACATCACACACGCGGATGCTGCTTCCTGAATTACGACGACAGGAACGAACATGCAGCCGATAAATTCCCTGTTGTTCTCTTCTGTTCTTCTGCAGGTCCCCTCCGACCCACCTGCCCCCAAGAAGCCCAAAGTAGACGACTCCTCTCTGCAGTCTCCAATCACGGGCGAGAAAGAAAAACAGTCGAGTTGGTTGCGGTCCTTGTCCAATTCATCCAGCAAGGTGAGCCTTGGAACTTGCTTCCTTTTATAAAACAGTTGTCTTGTTAGCATGACTTAAGAAACCAGCTTCCGACTACTCAGATTTAAGCTCTCGCCGTTCAGGTTTGATTCTCTCCTTCGCCCACCCCGGTATGTTAGAGATGTCGCTGCCAGATTTTTGACTCTCAGCTTGCCTCGATCAATCTTTCATTTGTTTCCTCCTTCTTTTGTCTCTCTTCCTCCCCTTCCCTTTTTTGGCTCCCACAGAGCATCGGTTGCATACACCCTCGACAGCGCCTTTCTGCATTCCGGCCCTGGTCCCCTGCAGTTTCAGCAAACGAGAAGGAGCTCTCAAATCACATCCCTGCCTTGATCCGAGACAGGTGAGGAGGGCGAGGAGGGGGTGGTAGTTGTGGTCAGATGGTTGCGTCGTGTGGTTCCCCTGAGGAAGCTCCTCTTTGCGAGCTTTCCTGGATCACAAGCAAATAGAATGGTTTCCGGACTCGTTTTATTTTTATTTGGTTAGTTATTGTGTTTCTAGTTTGGCCCTGACCTGGATGGTGCAGGTTAGCCCAGTCTCGTCATATCTCAGAAGCTAAGCAGGTTTGGCCCTAGTTAATAGTTGGATGGGAGGCCACCAAGGAAGTCCAGGGTTACTACGCAGAGGCAGGCAATGGCAAACCACCTCTGTGTCTGCCTCGTCCTGGATTCCCCAGGATAGCCCGATCCCATCAGATCTTGGAAACGAAGAAGGACTGGCCCTGGTTAGTACTTGGATGGGAGACCACCAAGGAAGTCCAGGGTTCCCATGCAGAGGCAGGCAACGGTCAACCATCTCTGTTCTTCTCTTGCCTTGAAAACCCGACGGGAGCCACCATGAGTCAGCTGCAACTTGATGGCGCTTTCCACCACCATTTATAGTTTGCCCTTCTTACTGAGACTCACAGAGGACATCACAGTGTAGATCGATACAGTAGAAAGAGGTATCTGATAAGCACAGTATAGGTCGATACAATCAGTACGAGAAGGCGTCGAACAAACATCGTACTAGATTACTGAAATCTCAATGAGCATTTTTTTTAAAAAGGCACTTGGAAGGTTTGGGATGTTTGAACTGGCAACGGTCCCAGTCTGGAGAAAGCCTGAGATCAGTCAGGACTAACCCACATTCTGTCCTGTTGATTTCCATGGGACCTCAGCACAGTAACTTCACCACCTTGAATACAGTGACTTGGCAGTCCCATTGAACACAGGATTGGAGCACCAGGGATTCTACTGGGGGTGATTCGGGTCCTTTGCTTGAGAAAAGAGCACTCTTTTTTTAAACTTATAAAGCACAAAAATGCTCCCGACTCACTGAATTCAGTGGTAAACTTTTAAATTCTTCAATTACGGCAGTAGCTGATTCATTGCGCTGATGAATCAATGAAAGTGTGCACGGGTATGGGAAAGGCTGGGGAGAGTCATCTTGTTGCCTGCAAAATATATTATGATTCACTCCTAAGATGGCAGCATCGCGGAGGCTGGAATGTAATTGAATATTCCATTTCTTTCCTTTCATCTCCCCCCTCCCCCCATTGCAGTTTCTATTCTTACAAGAGTTTTGAAAACGCCGTGGCTCCTAATGTGGCCCTTGCTCCCCCCACTCAACCAAAGATCATAAGCAACCCCCCGTGCGCCACTGGTTCGTCCCGGAGCAATGAGCCGCTGAACAGCCCCACCCAACCAAGGAAAAGGAAACATGTCTCTGAAAACCCAACCATTCCTGAACCTACACCTGTCGCCCCCACGACACCCGCTGTCCCTGCCGTTCCCGCCACGGAAGAAGATAAGGAGTCGGAAGCAGAAATCGAAGTAGAAACTCGAGAGGAATGTAAGTGTAGGTTGCCTGATTTTTAATTCTGGGGGTATCTGAAGGGCGATCTTCTCCCATAAGCCTTTTTTTGTAGAAAAAGCCCAGCAGGAACTCATTAGCATAACAGGCCACACCCAACAGCAGAAACACATTAGCATATTAGGACACACCTCTGACAGCACAGCTCATTAGCCTATTAGGCCACACCACATGCCTTCCTTTGGGAGGATCTGTCCTGCGAGAAGCCCGGGCAAGCCAGCCCTTGGACAGATCCTTCCAGGGGCCCCCCTGGTCCCCCTGCCTTGGAGTTGCGAGGGCGGGTGTCGCTCTCCAGGCCTTCCCCTCTGTAGCCAGGCACACAGAGGTTTTGGCTGTAGTGGGTGTGGCCAACTCTGAAGCCAGCCGGAACTCCGTTCCTGTGCATTCCTGCCCAAAAATAGCCCTGGTAAGCTGAAAAAGGCACTCCCCGATAATTTGAAGGTTATCGCTATATATTGAATAGCTGTTTGGTTTATTGCTCTTGTATTCTTTGTGTTTTTAATTAAGCTTTTATTGTAGTGGTTCCCTAATAGCATGTGCTACTTTAAATCGTTGCTGTATTATATAAATAAAAAGTTATTTTTAAAACAACAACTTGGGCATGCTGTTCAGGTGAGGTCAAACACTGACCTCCACATGCAGAGTGAGGAACCTTTCAGAGCATCCCCTGGGCCTTCACTCACCTTTCGTATCTGTGAAAAGGTATCCGTGCCTTCAGACCAAGGTGGTTCCCTGCTGGCCTCCTCTGGTTTGAAGAAGCAAGGCTGGTTGCCGCCTCAACATTCCCGTTTGAACGTCTCCCTTTCTGTCTTTCACAGTCACCTCCTCACTGTCCTCACTCTCCTCCCCTTCCTTCACCTCCTCGAGCTCGGCCAAGGACATGAGCTCCCCCAGCATGCAAGCCCCGCCGGCCGTCAGCAGCGCCTTCGAAGTCACTGCCCACGCCGAGCCCCAGGGTGGTGGCAGCGGTTTGGAAGCGGAACTGGAGCACCTCCGGCAAGCCCTGGACGGCGGCCTGGACACGAAAGAAGCCAAAGAGAAGTTCCTCCACGAGGTCGTCAAGATGAGGGTGAAGCAGGAAGAAAAACTCAATGCAGCCTTGCAGGCCAAGCGCAGCCTACACCAGGTAGTTACGGGACGGAATTTGGGGCCGATGGAAAGCAACCCGGGGTTCCTTTTTTTTAGATTTTGAAGGTTGGGGAGGTCGGTGGAAAGGGATCATTTGAGCAGCGGTGATTTTTTCTCAGTGAGATTCAGAGGCTTGCGTGTGGATCCGAGTTGCGAAAAGTAGTTTTGGAAAATGGTTGTATTTTTAACTTTATGAAAGCAATTGATAGCTCTCCCCCCTCCCCAGCAAAGAGACATGCTTTGGGCATGCCTCTATGAGAATGCAGGCTTGTCTTAATTGCTCCTGACAAGAGCCCTGGTTAGGAAGCTAAGCAGAGATCTGACGCGATCGGGCCATCCTGGGTATGCTGCCTGTCCCCTAAATCTAGTGACCACTTAAAGGGTTATTAACACAGTTATTTCTGAAGCGGTAGAGTCTTCTGCACGTGGAGAGGTCGCCACCTCAATTTCACATTGGTCTGAAATCGCCCTCATGTGTCTTCTCAAAGTTTACCACTTCGCCGAGAAACGGTAGTTTTGACAGAGCTTAGCAATAAAGGCTTCTCATTTACGGAAAGCCCAACGCACTCAGGCATACTTATTACTTGCAAATATGTATTCTTTCAATCACGGGTTGCATACAGAATCAGAAAGGGAGTTGCAGCAGGGAAGCGGGGAATCCATCTGTTTCTCAAGAATTTAAAACACGTTCCTTATAATTTTCCCCCTGACGAGTGACGCCACAGGCAGACTTTTCGCCGCATTCGACTGCGGATTCGGTTTGGGCCTGATAAAGTACCCCCAGGAAACCGTAATCCAGTTGAGCAACCCAGCTTGTAATGTAAAAACCATAGAGTTCCAACGCTCTGGATGCCACTGCTTTTGAGGCCAGGTTTACCTTACCTTGAAATGGTGTTTGAAGGAGGACAGCAGGGAAAACGTGTGGGAGAGGCCGTGGCTCAGTGGTAGGAGCATCTGCTCGGTATGCAAAGGTCCCAGGTTCACTCCCCGGCATCTTCAGTTACAGGGATCGGGTAGCAGGTGATTTGAAAGACCTCTGCCTAAGACCCTTGAGAGCTGCTAACGGCCTGAGTAGATGATACCGGTCTCGATGGACCAAAAGGTCTGATTCAGTATACGGCATCTTCATGTGTTCATCCGTTCTTATAAGTGGCCAAAAGAAGGGTGGTCCACGTGTTCTTACTGGCTCATCCAGGCCTCATCGACATGTGGCAGGTGACCTTTATTTATTTATAAAATGTATATCCCCGCCCTTCCCAAACGGGCTCAGGGCGCGGGCTAACATCAAGGCATACGACAATCAAAACCAGTTAACACAATTAATCTAAAAACAACTAAAACCAGAAACAGTTAATCAGTGAAAAGATGGTGAGCGATACTTCAACCCTCCCCCCTCCCCCAAAACCAGATAGATGATACTGGAGTCTTTTGAGTTCTCGAGAGCCTTTTTATCAAAACTGCTCAAACCAGAGGGTGGTCAGAAAATACAGAGCCAGGTGGTAGAGCTTTTATCTATTAGCTATTAGCCACGAGGTATAGATAGGGGCTCTGGGGCAAGTGATGCTCTGTCATCTTGGTGCTTGGGGGGGTCAACAGTGGGAGGGCTTCTAATGTCCTGGCCCCACTGGTGGACCTCCTGATGGCACTGGTATTTCTGGCCACTGTGTGATACAGAGTGTTGGACTGGATGGGCCTTTGGCCTGATCCAACTTCGGCATTTCTTATGTTCTTATCCTACTGGTAGAGCCTTTATTGTACTGAACCGAGCCAGAGGGCATTATCATCCTTCCCCTCCCCTTCCCTTCCAGGATTCGGTTGTTGCCGTGTTGGGATTTTAATTTTCTGCTGGGTAGTGGAGTGTGTAACAGGGTCGGGAGATGAAATAAAAGCCAGGAGAACAATGTTCTGGCTCGGAAACAAGATTGTTGGAGAAACAGAGAGGATTTCCCATGACCTCGGTGCAGTATGTTACTTAACAGAGGAAGTGCAGTATCTGGATATGGGAAGGGGAGATGGAAAAGACAGGAAGGGCGGGGGGGGGAGGGAATGTTGGGTTTTTTAACCCTGAAAGCCTCAGATCGGTAACAAATCCATTATAAGCATCGAATAGGTACCATTGTGAAGTGGATTGTGTGGGGGTTTCAATTTTTTTTAAAAAAAAGTGTGATACACAAACTTGGCAAGTGGTTGTCCGTGTGCCTAAAAATGCTAGTTAATGTTGAGGCATAAGAATTTGATACCTTTGTCCCTATCGCCAGTGACTGAAAATGTGTTTCTACCACCTTGGAGTTGAGGCTTTTTCACCCCCTTTTCCAGGTTCCTCTCACTTGTACATCTGTGGCCACGACTGGGTGTGAGGAGGCCATCCACACACCAAATCCTGTCACACGTGGCCCTGTGGGGAAGTGACCACAAAATGACAGACCTCCTCTCCTCTCTCGAGGCTCACCAAACCAAAGCCCTCGTGCCTCCCCGGAGCTCCCTTCCGACGCCCTCTCCCCTTTCCTCTTTCAGGAGCTGGAGTTCTTACGCGTGGCGAAGAAGGAGAAGCTGAGAGAAGCCACCGAGGCCAAGCGCAACTTAAGGAAGGAGATCGAGCGGCTACGAGCCGAGAACGAGAAGAAGATGAAAGAGGCCAACGAGTCGCGGATACGGCTAAAACGGGAACTGGAGCAAGCCAGACAGGTCCGGGTGTGCGACAAGGGATGCGAAGCTGGCCGGCTGCGAGCCAAGTACTCTGCCCAGGTGAGGAGAAGGGTTCTTCGAGGTTTCCTGACTGAACATCTCCAAAGAATACTACTTATCAGCGTTCAAAAATCTCTCTCCAAAATTATCATTCTCTGCCACTGGGGAAGAAAAATGAAGGAGGCAAAATGGCAGCCTTTGGCAAGGGTTGGGGTTGCCAACTCTGGGCTAGAAAATTTCTGGAGATTTGGGGGTGAGGCCTGTGGAGAGTGTGGTTTGGGGAGGGGAGGGGTCTTAGTGGGGTACGATGCTATAGAGTCCACCTTCCAAAGTAGCCATTTTCTCTGGGGAAGCTATCTCTGTCATCTGGAGATCACTTGTAATTCTGGGAGGAGAAGAAGAAGAAGAGGTTGGATTTGTACCCCGCCGTTCACTTGGGAGTCTCATAGCAGCTTACAATCCACTTTTCGTTCCCCTCCCCACAACAGACACCCTGTGAGGTAGGCGGGGCTGAGAGAGCTCTCTCGAGGACTGCCCTTGAGAGAACAGCTCGGAGAGAACTTGTCACTGACCCAAGGTCACTCCAGCAGCTGCATGTGGAGTAGGGGATCAAACCCAGTTCTCCCAGATTAGAGTCCGTGCTCTTAACCACGACACCAAACTGGCTCTCCGGGCCCCACCTGGCGATTGGCAATCCAAGCAAGGCAGGCGTCTCAGGTGGAACCTTTTGTACACTTTGAAACATACACATCCCCTCCATTCTTGACATGTCCAGGTCCTGTCTCAAGAAACATTACAGTGGGGGGGAATTCTGCTCAGATTAATGAAAGCCCCGAGGAAGACAACTGAGCGCGCACACAGGAAGGCACAGATCCCTACGTTCTGTCACTGGGTGTCGATGGGGCATGTCGTTCTGTGCTATGGAAAACTTATCAGCTCTTTAAAAAAGAAAAAGGAAAAAAAAGCGTAGAACAAATCCCCATTAAACTTTACTCTTCCCCAGCGTCTTGTTAACAGGAAGGGGAGAGGCCCTTTTGTGAGGCAGGCTAAACTTAGGAGTGCAGCAGGAGGAAATGATGCGGGTTTCCTCCTCTAGCATCATGGGACGTCTCGCCGATAAGTGGTGCCCAGACTAAACACGATCCGATTCAGAGCTCTGCTCGCTGGGCGTCAACTTCCACTTTGGCGGTGGCGGTGGTGATGGGGGGATACATTCTTCACCAAAACAGAGCTTGCGAGATGGCTGTGCCAATCCGTTCAACTTCCACAGCGGCAGAATTTTCACATCTGATTTTTTTGTTTGTTTGTTTTGTTCTCCTGTTCTTTGCTTGAGGCAGGGGAGGAGAGGGATTGTCTTTTTCTTCCTTTCTGGTAAAAATATCATGTCAGAAGCCCTTCTGCCCTGAGCTCACAGCTGCTTCGTAGACATAGGAAGTCTTTGTTTGAGCACAGGCGAGAGGACGCGTCTGCCTGTCTGTCTGTCTGTCTCCTCGGTGTCTAATTTAGCAGAACCCACAGTTCTGATGCTCATCTGAAGAAATAGCGTCAGGAGAAGGAGGAGGATGGACGGATTAAGCTGAGAAACCAGGCACTGGTTTTTTTCAGAGGAATTAGGGGATGTGTAGGCGCCTCGAGACACACACGTGCACAAAGATGCACAGCCTGTAGCTGCGTTCAGCTAATTGAAGCCTGGAATGCGCTTGCTTCTAAAGATGCCCCCTCACCCGTCCATATGTACTCCTCGTGTTCTTAAAGAGGTTTACTTCCAGTCTGTTCCTGCGTAGAGCTCAAAGGCCTAGTCTCAGATGCCTGGAATAATCTAGCCACTCTCTCCCTCACACATCTGCCCCAGTGTCTAAGATTATCCATAGCTAAGGTTGCCAGGTCCAGGTAGGGAAATTCCTGGAGATTTTGCGTGTGGCGTATGAGGAGGGTGGGGTTTGAGGAGAGGAGGGACCTCAGCAGAGGCCACCTTCCAAATCAGCCACTTCCTCCAGGGGAAATAATCTCTGTCACCTGGAGATCAGTTGTAATTCCAGGAGATCTCCAGCTACCGCCTGGAGGTTGACAACCCTCTCCACGGCCCTCCTCTGTACGCCTCCAGTAACAGAAGTTTGTTGTGCAGGTAATGCAGAAAGGGCCTTTTCTGTGGTAGCCCCCCAATTTAGGAAGTTTTTAACTGCAGCCAATATCATTAACTTTCGAACGTCCAGCTAGCTATCCTAGTTTTCAGCAGCAATTGGGACCTTCCTGGATGTGACTATCTTATGTCCCCCACCCTGTTTTTATATCTGAGCTTAGTTGCGTTCTGCTTAATATGTTGACATGCAAGATGCTTTAGCTGTCTGTGTAAGTCTCCCTGAGGGCTTTCCTGCTGGACAAGTAAGGCAAAAAAATAAATTATTTAACATCCTTCTGACGTTTCAAGTGAACAAGTGCCAGATAGCTCCAGGAGGCCCCCTGAAACATGAATCACATTCGGTAGGCCTTTTTTGTGGTAGCCCCCAACTGTGAAAGTCTTTGACTGCAACCAAAATGGTTATCTTTTGAATGCCCAGCTAAGAGCTGTCCAAGTCTTAGGGAAGCGGCATCTTCTGCCCACCAGCATCTGAGTGTCTTCTTTTTCATTCCCTCTAGATTGAAGACCTGCAGGTGAAACTCCAGCATGCTGAAGCAGACCGGGAACAGCTGCGTGCTGACCTGTTGCGCGAGAGGGAAGCGCGGGAACACTTGGAAAAAGTGGTCAAGGAACTTCAGGAGCAACTGTGGCCTAAGCAGAGCAATCTGCCCAGCAGCGAACATATGGCAAAGGACCTAGAGAACTAGAGGCAGCACTCGCGAAAGGAATGAGACATTGTCTAACCCCGTAGGCCAGACTGACGAATATGCACAGTAAGGGATTGTGTACGGGAGCGGCGCATGCGCATGGGCGCTTGCCCCTGTGCATGCCGGTAAAGGCGATGGACTTAGTTACTGATTGGAGGGCAGACGTTACTCGTTATAACAGAAGCACTGAAATCCTGTCTTTTTTTCCCAACTCCACATAGCACAACATCTTCCTGTGCCTATAACATGAAGAGTGTTTATCTAAACAAAAACTAAACTACTTTTGAGTCCACAGCAAAAAAAAAATAATCTTTTTCTACTGCTCTTCGGGTGTATCTGGCAGCACCCAAGGGAAATGGAAAGTGGGCGAGGAAGTCCCCTTTTCCGGGCAACACTTTGGAATTGCGACGCCCCATTTTTGTTATAAGCTATTTAAAAAAAAAAAGTACAAACGGTTGAGTCACAAAGATGTGGTATTATAACCATCAACAAGATTTTTTAAAAAATATATATTATATATAAAACTGGGGTGGGGTGGGGGTGTGAATACAGACACTCTTTGATGCCTCATTTGTAAAGATAAATTGTTACAGGGGTTGGGTTCTTCACTAAGAGACGCTTGTCTGAAAATACCCAACAGTAAGCCATGACAGTTTCGAACCCTTCAGGGGAGATTTCTACGAGAATTTCAAAACTTTTAAATTTGTTTCTAGTTTTAAATCCGCATGTTCCTCCCCCCCAACCCCTCCCCCTGCATTTGCACCAATGTTAAGAAAGCCAGAGGGGAAGGGGGGGGGAATGAAGAGTGTAAGCAGCGAAAGGACAACCGACACAAACCCCGCCTTATTAAAGACAGTGTTCGTAAATCATGCCATAACCCCCCCTTTTAAGAAAAAGAAAAGAAGATATCTGTTATTGACTGATGTGTTTTTGAAAAGACTCGCTTCATCTCCAGAGCACTTCAGTTTTTAGGAAAGAAATAGAAGAGTTGAGGGTTTTTTTCTAAAAAAATTAATAATTTTTAAAAAGGAAAACCAAGAGACGGATGGATCGGGAAGCGGCTTGTGAGAGACCGAGAGAGAAAGGAGTGCGCGCATGTGTGAGACAACCTCTCTTTCTGTTTTGTTTTCTTTTAATTCCCCCCCCCCCAAGAACTCATCCCCATTTGTTCCTCTCCTCAGAAATTCAGTATTTTATTGACTTAACGGTCACATGTGAGGACTTGAGTGCCCCAGAAGAAGGCTCAGCGTTGTATTAAAGACACAAAAAAGAGAGACTTTTTGCTGCTGTGAATATAAGCCTACATTTCTTATTCTTTAGATTTTGTTTTTTTTTAAAGGGGGGGGTCTTTATTTTTGTGACAAATATTTTAATCTTGGGATCTCTGCTGCAGTTCCTCCCCAACCCAGCCATGGATCTAAAAAATATGCATTCACACACTCAGGGCAAAATCATATCCCTGGTGGGAGTTTTGCTTCGACAGGATTGGGGCCAACGCTTCAGTAGCCGGCTGGATTTTTGTTTCTTTCTTTAACAACAACAACGTTTGTCAAGAACTGCGCTCTCTTCCTCATTCCCCCCCCCCCGCTTCCCCTCATCCCTCAATTGCCCAGTTTGCCATCCTGCTGTTGCACGTCGGAGTGGGTTTGGATACTGTTGATCTGTTTCAGGTTCAAGTTATGCTAGCTTAACTCTCGAGATCACGTTGTACGAGATGCTGACGGTTAGACAAACCTGGGGAGGCAGCAGGCATCGCAGAGTCAGGTTTCCAAATTTAGTTCTTTAGGCCTCTGATGTATGAATGACTCGTGTTTCCTCCGCAGCCATTCTGCTGCACTTCTGGAGGAAGGGAGGCACCACCCCTCCAACAAGTAGGGCAACCACAGGCATCCCCCCCCCCCAGCAATACTGCAACCCAAGTGAATTCACCACGATGGCCGCAGCTTTCTTCTTGCCCCCCCAAAGCACCTTTTTGGAACTGTGTTTTCTGCAATGTTCTGGAATGTGTACTGGAACTGTTTTCTTGAATCAGTTCTCTGGGCTGTTGACAGGTCACTCATTCACACAGGTCACTCATTCAGAAAAATGGACCTTACATTCTGAAGGGGGGGGGCACACCATTATTCTAGGATGCCTGCCCCTCCCCTGGTGCGTCAACACGGAAGGGAAATTATCCTCTGCTAATGAAACCTTTCCTTCGCTAAGCAGCTGCCAGTCCTGAAATTAAAGTATTTACTTACAAGTACACTAGATAATTTTTTTTTAATAAAAAGCAAACTGTATTAAAATAAAGTTATTACCCATTCTAATAGCCATTGCAAGCATGAACATTGGAAGGAGGAAGCGAAGTTCATTTTGGGGGAGGGGGAGGCTGGTAACAGACAAAAACAGAATAAAAAGAAAGATTATATTAGAAAGAAAAGTCAGGTTACTTAGGCAAAAATAAATTAAGGGGAGCAGAGAAAAAAAAGCTATGTGAACTAACTTTGCATGAAGCGAGCCCCGTCGTCCAAGCTTACGGGGTTTTGCCCTGGTTCAATTGTGACGAGCAGATCCCATTCTCCCTCTTCTAAAGTGCAATGCAAACGGATTATTGATTGTGTTTATGCAGTTATTTTTTTTTTTAATGTGGGGATTTTTTTAAAAAAACGCTTCTTTGTATGTTTTTTTCTGCAGTTATTAAAAAAACATATGCATGGAATTAAAACCTTTGCCATACATATATTAATCAACAGGCATTATTACTGTCTTATGTAAAGGGGAGGTTGTTTGGGGTGGGGGGTCATCATGCGTGTAAAAAAAACCCCCAGAACCTTTTCTCAGCCTTATGAATTTTCAGGTTACGAATTTTCGGGGGCCGCACTGCTTTTCGTAGCGGGTATTTCTCTCTAACAGTCACAGAATAACGTCGCTTGCCGCCGAATGCTGTGGTCGAACTCTGGTTTCGGTGCGTCCGTCTTATGGCCGGTGATTTAATCCCAGGACAGACCGATTGACTTGTTCACGCTCCGTTTTTTCGTTTCCTCCTTCAAACTTTGGCAGTGGCCCGGAGTGCCAAGGTGCCATCTTTGGGAATAAGCTTGTGCCTCGCTGGGGAGACTGGTTGCTTAGCCAGAAGAGCTCAGATGGCACTCCGAAGAACCCTGGAGTTCTGCGGAAGCTTAACGAAGAGGAGATCAGGATTGTAGAAAAGCCTCTTCGGAAGGAAGCTTGCCCGCCCATCCACTCACTGCTGAGGAACCCCTGCACAGTTCTTTGGAGGGTGCGCTAGCTGTGTTATTTGCCATCCAGGTTTTTAGCTCCAAAAATACTAGCTCATGCAGAGAGATGGGGGTCCGGCAGGCCCAGCAAGAGAATTGCATGCACCCCAGTACATTCCCCTGCATCCTGTGCAATGAATACTAGTTCCTGAGCCACTAGTTTTACAAACACAACAATGGGGGGTTGTGAACCCTACCACTCCTGACCACAGAGATCAATTCCCCTGGAGAAAAATGGCTGTTTTGGAGGGAGACTCCATGGCATTATACCCCGCTAAAGTCCTTCCTCTTCCTAAATCCCGCCTTCTGCAAGCTCCGCCCCCCCAATGGTTTCTCAGTTGACAACCCTCTGAGCCACCAACCTTCAGTCCAAACACCATTCCCCATCCAATATGATCTGGCGTAACGCCCTACCACTGAAGCGAGGGAACACAAACACTGCTCCCATGCAACTGTGACACACCATGCTTGTTGTGTACCCCCAAGCGGAGGGAGAAACAAGTCTGGCTCTGGGCTGGTGTAGCCACCTATGAGCCAAACTGCAAAAGGAGGCCCACTGCTTGGGAACACGGGTCTGGGCTTTCATAGTCTCTGTTCCCAGAGATGGCATTTAAGTCTCCTATTTCAAGGTCTGTGGCATACCAAAATCTGCTGCCCTTGATACTGGGTCTGTGTCCTCTCACATTTCAGATGTCACATTTTTAAAAACATTTTTGGGGGTTCTACCATGCAGGTAAGGGCTGCGGTGGCTCAAGTGGTTAAGACGCTGAACTGCAGGCTGTGGAAGGTCAGTAGTTCAGCAGTTCGAGACCCGGGTGCCGCACGATGGAGTGAGCTCCCGTCTCTAGTTCCAGCTCCTGCCAACCTAGCAGTTCGAAAGCAAGAAATTGCAAGTAGATAAATAGGTACCACTTCGGTGGGAAGGTAACAGGGTTCCGTGCGCCTTGGTGTGTAGTCATGCCGGCCACATGACCACGGAAACGTCTTCGGACAGCGCTGGCTCTTTGGCTTTGAAACGGAGATGAGCACCGCAACCCTAGAGTCGGATTCGCCTGGCTTTCGAGCAAGGGAACCTTTACCTTACCAACTTCAAGAACCTGCAAGGTCTCCCTGACTCATCTGAGGGGGTAAAAAAAAGAAAAGCCAAAGAGAACAGAGAGGGGGAAACGACCAGATCAGCAAAGACTACTGTTGATATTTGCAGTATGCATATTTAAGGGGTACACTTCAGAAGCATCAAGTGTGCTACTACATGTGTAGCATGTGTCAAACACCTCCCCACCCCCCCACCCCGGAAGTCCTGCAGGTCTAAACTCATTCCCAGTCTGAATCCATTTAAAAGCACACTAGGCCAGCCAAAAAATGAACGATTCCCAAATGTTTCTCTAGTAGGAGTGCAGGTTTTTAATGTCAGGCTGCCAGCTTTGATTTTATACGGCCCAGGTGATGAAAGAGATCCCCCTCCCTTTTAAAATACATCCCTGATGGAGGATGTAGCCAACAAATTATGATGACAAAAACATCTCGTTAGGAGACAATCTGGAAATCCTCTGTTTTTTTGTTTTAGGTTTTGTGTTTTTTTTGTAGTACCATGTCTTTCCATAACTCAAGCAGAGGGATGTGTAGACGTCCTTTTGTCATGGCATCTCTCAAGGTTTGCCAGGTGTCCCCCCCCCCCGGCCACAGGTGGGGGGGCTAAGGTTGCCAGATCATGGTTGGGAAACTTCTGGGGATTTAGGGGTGGGGCCTGGGAAGAGCAGAGACCTCAGTCGGGTACAATGCCATAGCGTCCACCCTCCAAAGAGCCCATTTTCTCCAGGGGAACTGATCTCCGGAGATAAGCAGTAATTCCTAGGGGTCCCAGGTGCCACCTGGGGGCTTGCATCCCTACATTGTTTTGCTCCATCGTATGCCCATTCAAAGGATTTCCGAGACAAACTCATATCAGGAATGGAGATGTGACGATTTCACTCCCGTTCGGAGTGTTCTTCCCGCAGACGTTTTTGCCTTCAGTTAATGGACAAAAGCCCAGGATAGCTTCAGGTCTGGTCTTTCTTCCTTGCAATGAATGGGCCTTGTCATGGGGAAAGGTCCTAGTCCACTGTGTACAAATACCTCCAGTGAGCACTGCCTGATGGTCACCCCCCCCTTTCCTTTTTGTTTCGCATCTGCTCCCAAAGTAAGGGATTGATGGCTGTAAGATCTAGCTAAGAAACATTGCACTAGTAGTTTAAAAAAACCCAAAAAAACTCCGAAGTTCTCGAGGTCTCCAACGTGTGGAGCTCTGTGTGATGAGGTGCTGTTCCGGTTCCTTCTGATGCACTCACGGAACGTTCTCCAACATTCAAGTGATTGGGAAAGTCTTTTTGGTTTGTAGCGCTCTAACCCCTCAACCACCCCCAAACAGACAGAGGCGGCACTCAGGGGAAATTGCATTTCCCCCATATACAGCCTCACGTTTGGCTGCCTTCGTGAGCTATCGCTCCGTCCCCCTTTGCAGCCCGTGTTGGTGGGTGGCTTGAAAATTCCAAAAACGCCCTAACCTGATCCTGCCTTGCTCACAACAGTTCAATTTCTTTTAAGGAATTTGGGGTCTTTCCCCCCCTGCTTTTTTTCCAAAGGGGAGAAGAAATGTTTATTATATAGGCTGTTGACTCTCCCTGTACATCAAATATACCCCTAGATAATTGTATATTCAGTTTACTTATTCACTTTTTAAAAAACAGAGATAACAAAGGGAAAAAAAAGAATTCCAACAGCAATAAGACATTCATATCTACGGAGCAGCTAACACAGGTATACATAGTAATCTGCTTTTTTCGACTGAACTAGCCAATGTAAAAACAAAACCATAAAGAGTAAGAGTTAATTTGTAAATACTTTTTTTTAATTTTACAATTGTATAATAAGTGTATATGATGTTTACTTTTTCAAAAACCTTTTTCTTACTTAGTCGTCTCGTTCTACGAGTTGTGTTTCTAAAATAAGAAACCTTGCCATTTGTTAGGGAAAAAAGTATATATACGACAAACAAAAGGGTGTGTTCACCACCACCACCAAAATTTCATGTTGGTTAACACTTTCTCCCCGTTATTTACATCTTTTTACCATTCTCTTTGTTGTAAAGTATTTTATAATTAAAATAAATAAAAATTGACATTTCCCTGTCCCTTCCCAACCAGCCTATGTGTTTCGAGGAAGGTCTTTCAAAACAAAAGAACTCTCAGAAATGAGTTTTCAATGGGGGGGGGGGATGATGCAAACTTACAACAGCCAATAGCATTTCAGCACATTTTTGGTTATACCCCCCCAAGCTGCTGCTAACAATATGATTTATTCTCCTATTCTAGAACTATTTTTACGTAATTAAAGTATGCTTTCTTGTTTATAAATGCCTGATTTACAAAAAGAAAAAAAAAGAAAGAAAAAAAACCCGTGGCATATTTATCTATTTCGCTGTGTAACTTGATAGTCCTTTTTCAGAGTCCCCCTTTCCCCTCCCAATTCCTTCCCCACCTAAAACAGATAATATTGTAAAATAAAGGACTTTATCAGATGATGTATGAAAAATAGCTATGCTTATATACCACAGTGACTGAATGTACAGTGTATAGACACATTACGTAAAATAAAAATTGTCCAGGAAAAAAAAAAGAAAAAAATATATCACACATCCTACTAAAAGCGTTTTTCCCCTTCATATTGTAAGGTGAACAGAAAGGCTGCCAATTCATTAAAATCAACAAATTTGAAAGGGTGGGCTTTTTTTGGGTGGGGGGGTTGCATCGTTAAATGGGAGCTGGTGAGATGAAGATGGTTCATGCAGCTCCTGAAACCAGTGGTCCCCAGCATGGTCCCCGCTGACACCTTTTCTAGCACCCGCCAAGTGTTTTCAGGAAGTGGGTGGGGCCACGTAGGGCTTTTGCCCAGCAGGGCTTCTGATTGGCTATTGGAGATTTGATTGGCTGTGGGGATGTTTGTAAATGTTGCATTGGCAACAGCTGCCACCACAGCTTAAGGATCTGCACTGTCCTACTGAGGGTAAGATGCGGCAGCCATTTTGTGACTGGCTCCGCCTCCCACGGCAGCCATTTTGTGGCTGTGCCTACCATGTCATGTCAGATTTCCAGATGTGCCCACAGCCTCAAAACAGTTGGGGACCTCTGGCTTAAACGCATCCCTCCACACAAGTCCTCAGAAGGCTTTCCTGGCAACCAGGTCTCCATGCCGTGCACATGTGCCTGGACTCTACCACTTCTGAATGCAGACCAGGTGGGGGGGGATAGGTCTGTGTCAATTAAAAAGCCACCACAGAACTCCCCCACATGCATAAACGTCAAGGAGAGTTTTCGTCTTTTCCTGGACGTGCTCGTTTTCTGCATGGATTTTATCATGCAATCTCCCGGTGCAAAAACAGTCCGGCAAGCAATTGATCTGGAGAGAGTAATCGGGGATGTGATTTCAGATGCTCCCCAAATATCTTGGCTTTCAGAGAGACTCTGGGGGCAATGCAGTTCTACCTGCAAAGTAAGGTAGCCAACCTCCAGATGGGGTGTGGTGATCTCCTGGGATTACAACCAATGCTCCCTCTAAGCTGTGGAGTCTGGTGAGCAAAAATTCTACTTTGTGAGCTACCGGCATTAAAGTTGTGTGAGCGAGTCATTTGGCTACTGCATACGTTAGTTTGCTCTGGAGTCATCCTCCCTGAGCTAAGACAAAAATATGTGAGCCAGAGGCTAAAAAACCATGAGCTAGCTCACACTAACTCAGCTGAGAGGGAACACTGATTACAACTGATCTCCGAACTATGCAGATCAGTTCCCCTGAAGACAAAAAGGTCTGCTTTGGAGAGTGGACTGTATTGCATTATACCACGCTGAGGCCCCTCCCCCCAAACCCCACCTTTCCCAGGCTCCACCCCCAAATCACCAGGAATTTCTCAACCTGCAGTTGGCCACTGTAGTGCAAAGGGTGCCTTTGAAACTACGGGTGGGGGACAGAAGGGAACTTCCTGAACAAACTAATTTGCCGTATCCTGAATCAGACCAGTGGCCACTCTAGCCCAGAGTTCAGACTAGCGATGGCACGCCAAGGGCCCAGGGAATGGTCCTCCCTTAACCTTGCAGACTGATTCTTTCAACTGGAGATGCCAAGGACTGAACATGAGACGTGCACGCAAAGCATGTTCTCTACCACTGAGCTATGGCTTCCTCTGTCTCCTCAGTATGAATTCATTCTGCATCTAGCCCATATATCCTGTGCCTCTCCAGCGTGGCCTAACATTCTCTTTGGACCCAGCGTTGCTGCTAGCAGCTGCGAGCCAATTTGTAGTCTGAATGTCAGTTTTTCAAAAAAGTGCTTTCTACAAAAACAACAACACTTGTTTGAGAGAAATAATTAGTTATCGCTAATAGCACTCTTTACCAGCTCTCCAAAAAATCTCTCCCAGCTCTCCCAACATTTGAGCCACGGAAAGGGAGATTTAATTAGAAAGGAAGAGGCTAGCAGCATATGTCGCAGTCCTTTACAGCAACGCTCCTCAGGAGTTGCCAGGGAATCACAACAAACACACCTACACTCTGCTAGG